CAGGGTGGAGCTCATCCTGACACTGCTTACACCAGTAGTGAGGTTAAGAAATGAAAAACAAAACAGTCATACCACACACCTTGTTACAGAACATTGATCTCAATGTTATAAATATAGCTACAATGGGCCAGATTCTGATATCATGTAAATCTATTTGACATCAGTGGCGTTATTACCGATTTACAGAATCTTGCCTCTGGCACAAAGCCGTGCACTGTTAAGGAACAGGTAGTAAAGGTATAAATTTCTTAAATAAATCACACACATTTAAAAATGATGGTATATCAGAATTCAGACAGCCCTTGTATAAGTACCAATATTGATAAATAACTGTTATAACAGGATTTTGCATAACTGTGAAAAAACTATTTTATTTCTATATCTGCAAATACCAGCTAGTCATAATGTTTTTCATTTTCAAAAACTGCCCATCCCCTAGTCAGTACTACAAACACAGGCATGGAGACATCCACATTACATTTTTTTTTTTTATTTTTGTATATAGCATCTTTGCTCAAAATCTAGTGCCAGCCAAGGAAGAGAGAGTGCCTTTCAGTCTAAGGTATGTTTTAGGTATCAGTCACTAATTTAAGTCCCAACATCTAAAGATATTTCTTTGTAAATTCTTATGTGTGCATATTTCCTTTTGTTGACACTCCTGTTTCAGATATGCATTATGAAAACTCCAAATATAACAAAAATAATCTTAATTTGCTCACATTGTAAATAGAACTCAATCAATGGCACCATCGCTCTTTACAGAGCAAGGTGTATGTGCCAATGAGTTCTCTGATTGCTGCTAAGTCCGACGCATGAGCGATGGGCCTGTCCACAGATAAGGCACACCCATACACTAACAATGCTCTGAATCCGAGCAGCAGATTCTTTCCTCCTCTGACGCCAGTCCTCACAAAGCCCGATCCAGTCTGCTTCGCAATGCCTTGCTCCATCTATCTACATGCAAGCTGACGCTGCTAATTAGAGTGACATTCTTCACTTCTTTCCCAATCATCCAAAGGATTCCAAAGTATACTAAATCATCTTTGCAAGCATCCTGAAATCTGCACAGTGGTCTGCCTCTATTTTAGACACTTCTTGAGCTTCAGAGTACAGCGCACGCTTCGGGATCTTGTATTCCAGCATTCACTTGATATGTCCAAGCCACCTGAGTCTTTTCTTACTAATCAACATTCCAATGAATGACATACCAGCATGATTTAACACTAAATAGAACTAGTTTATCTACAAACAATGGAACAGAAAGAGAAGGTAACTGTACATCCACAGCAGAACAGAAGGGCAGCAATAATTTCCTAGGGAAAATGATGGAAGAAGCATTGCCTAAGACATTTAAAACTTGATTGGACAAAGCACTAGCAAATGCACTTGAGAGAACAGTCCTACATGTATGGATGTCCTACAACTTCACCCAAGATGTCATAAGGAGTGGAAATCAAACCATCAGTTCCTTCCAGACCTGTTGGTGTGGGTTCTGGAGGGGTGTTTCATTATTTTCTAGTGCCCTTGGCAAACAGGGAGATAATGCTGTGTCCTGAATTGCACGGGAGAAGATGCAGGCTCGGCTTTCCATGCACTTGGAAGAGTATGGACATGACCTAGCTGGTCTTTCCCTTCTCTGATACCTGATTCTACAGTGGTCTTCTCAAACATCAAGAAATAAGTTTTAAAACTTCACTGTTTTAGAGTATTACTAAAGTAGAGAATCGGTAATGGGTTGCAGTGCCTTTCCCCTTTATGTCACCTATTCTATTCTGCCCAAAGATACTAACAAATGAAAGTCTTTCCTATCAGATGGCCGTACAATAGCTTATATAAAGTGAGTTGGTGGTCTTAGTCCAGTACTAATGGTCCACGTCATCTAAGTCACCATCATAATTGGCCCTACTGCTGGTAGCCAAAGCAGAAAAGCCAGTGGATGAATTGACATGAAAATTAAACTTCACTTCAACCCCAGAACTGGGATGGCAGGGTAATGGGAGGGAATCTCTAACTGCTGCTGATCTTGGTGTAAAAATTAACTTGTTTGTCAGTCAGGTAATAACTAGCTAGATTAGCCCAGCCATCCCTACCTGTGCCTGAAGCTGGGAATGGGCAACAGGGGATGGATCACTTGATGATTACCTGTTCTGTTCATTGCCTCTGAAGCACCTAACAGTGGCCAATGCCAGCAGACAGGATACTGGGCTAGATGGACCTTTGGCCGTTCTTATGTTCTTATTCTTAACTATTCTAGCTGGTGATTATTGGACCAAGCTTCTCCTCCCCTAGCCCCCCCAAAAAACTCAAATAGGTCATTATGGTTTGAAATAAATATGAGACAAATTAAACATATCAATATTGCACTACTACAATATGAACTGACTGCCAGTTAATGGGAGGGAGTGTTTCTATTATGAATGCTCACTGAGCATGTACTGTTAAAGTTCTGAAGAGATTCTGTATTTGCTCAACAGGCTACTGAAATGGATAATTCGTTTTTATTAGCTGTAAGTATGAAAATACTAAGCATTCCAAGCACTTCATGCCAAACTGTATCAGACGACAAACCTGTCATCATGCAACTGACCTGAACACAAACAGTGCACAACAGAAGACCAAAGGAAGAGAATACATAAACCTTCAGTGGGGAACAAAGTCCACTGTCACTCTACAAAAAAAAAAAAAAAAGAATGCCAATAATAGCACTGCTCAAGCATAAAGTATACCAATTATATCTGAAGCCCTCTGATGTTTCTCATTAAAGAACACATTCAGATGAGCATTTCCATTCCGATTGTCTTCATGGAAATATAAGCTGTCATTTTAAATAGGAATATGGATATTTATAGGTCACATGCATAATTAATTAACCAAGAGAAAATTGTAAGGACTTCAGCTACTATCAAAGGACATAATGATTGATGCCCTTCAAAATTTAATTCAAAGAGTTGTGCCCACTTCAAAATACTTGTTAACTTGCAGATACGCCTTTGTCCTGAGGTTGTTCTGTGGTTTGTTTGTTTGTTTTTTTTAAAAGCCTCCAGTAATTATCAGTAGACTTTATTTTGTTTGTTACAGTGCCCTGAGGAAAAATACGTATTTCAGACTAAAGCAATGCTGTTGCAAGACTCCCCTTCTCTATCCATGGGACGTGACTAACAGTGGTAAAACTAGGTTTCAGAGTAGCAGCCGTGTTAGTCTGTATTCGCAAAAAGAAAAGGAGTACTTGTGGTAAAACTAGGCTGCTTTACTCAAGAAATCTCATCAATAACTTAAGGAAGAGTTTTAAGGTTTTTTTTAAGTGTCAGCTTACCAATTTTGTTTTACTTTCTTTAGTCATTTTAATTTTTTCCAAGCACACACGCATGACCCCAGACCTCCCTGGACATTTTAAATACCTTTCATTTCAAAGCAGGCAGGCTGATACAAAAAACAAAAAACAAGCGGGACAGCATAAATAAATTTTCTCTCACAGTAAAGTTTTTGTAAGCCAGTGCTAGATGAAGACTGACTACATACAACCAAGTATAATTATGTTGGAAGCAATGCTACAGTAAATACTAACATTCTAGTCTAAATCAAGTTTAGAATGGAAATGGTGGAATAACAACAGGGAGGGCTGTACCATGATAAGAACTTCTGCTAGGAGAGAGGAAACAATCTATCACAGCAATACTCTTATAATAAAACGAGGAAATACACTTTATTTAAAAAACAAAAACAAAAAAAATACCAAGCAGATATCCTGCTCTGCTTGTTTTTAAACTAAATTATGGGAATCATAGAATTGTAGGACTGGAAGGACCTCAAGAGGTCTTTTACTCCAATTTATTTCACTGCTTAAACACCCTGACAGAAAGTTTTTCCCAAATAAGCAACCTAAAGGGGAAGGATAGCTCAGTGGTTTGAGCATTGGCCTGCTAAACCAGGGTTGTGAGTTCAATCCTTGAGGGGGCCATTTAGGGATCTGGAGCAAAAATTGGCGACTGGTCCTGCTTTGAGGAATTTCCAAACACTAGATGACCTCCTGAGGTTCCTTCCAACCCTGATATTCGATGCAGGGCCGGCTCTACACTTTTTGCTGCCGCAAGCAGCACGCCAAATTGCCGCCTGAAGAAGGGAGCTGCCACTAAATTGCCGCCGCGGGTGGCCGAAGAAGGGGGCTGCCGCCGAATTGCCGCCGCTGGACTGTGAAGATACAAGCTGATGCTGAATTGCCACCGTGGCGAAAAAACTCATGCCGCCCTAACGACGCATGGCCTGCCGCCCCTTTAAGATTGCCACCCCAGGCACCTGCTTGGAATGCTGGTGCCTGGAGCCAGCTCTGATTCTATGATTCTAAACCACCCCTGCTGCAATTTAAGCCTATTGGTTCTTGTCCTATCCTCAGAGGTTAAAAAGAACAATAATTCTTGTATAAGGCAGTTCCTCAGATATTGTAAAAAGAAAAGGAGTACTTAGAGACTAAGGTGCCACAAGTCCTCCTTTTCTTTTTGCGGCTACAGACTAACACGGCTGCTACTCTGAAACCTGTCAGATGCTGTAGTTTCGCAAATAAACACGGAATTTATGGTTCAAATTTGAGACCTCTTTTCTTACTCCACCCCACCAAATCTTATCAAGAAAGGCACCCCTGTCCACCACTAACTACTATCTGAAATGTAGGTCCCCTAAGCAATTGGCCCCACCCAAATCCAAGTGGTTCCTTGGAATTTCCAAACATTTGATGAGCAGCAGAGTTGTGTGTAAAAAGAAAAGGAGTACTTGTGGCACCTTAGAGACTAACCAATTTATTTGAGCATAAGCTTTCGTGAGCTACAGCTCACTTCATCGGATGCATACTGTGAATGTTTGCAGCGGGGAAGCGCCATCCCCCCAGCCAGCTTTAGCGATAGCAGCGTGGGTGGCTGGGGATCCCAAGCAGCCAGCTGGCCCTGGCCGCAGCCACCGCCTGCCCCTCTGCCCCTCCAGGTGCGCCTCCCACGCCCCCCATCACTCACCGCCACCGAGCCAGAGGAGGATGCGATGAACACCCGGATAACCATCCTCACTTCATTCGCCGCTTCTCTCCAGCCAAGGGGAGGCGTGGAAGGGCTAAGGGGGCTTCCACTCCTGCAGCTGAAAGCCGCTGCTGCGAGCTGGGGGGTTGCTTGCAGGACCTAGCCCGCCTTGCTCACCCCGCTGAAGCCCAGAGGCGCTAGCAGCTCCAGCCCTGCCTTCGCCTCGGGACTCCCGCTTCGCCCGGCAGCAGCCGCAGCCGCAGCGCAGACACCCAGAGCTGAGCGGGAGGCAGGAGACGAAAGCAGAAGGGGGGAAAGAGAGGGGCGTGCGCAGTGGTTGCTGGGAATTGTAGTGCTGCCGCTCTGCCAGCTGGTGGATGTGTTTCCAGGGGGCCACCTGCACCTCCCAGCTGGGGGGGCGGCAGGTCGAACGGGGCCCCACCCCGGTCTGAAAACCGGGCTTTAGATCCGTCCCCACGGTCAGGTAGTTTCGTAGGGAACAACCTACTTAATAGTAGCCGCTAATTCTGGCTGTCTCTAAATTCTGGTGGCTCCCATAGGGGACACTTGGAGGAGGCCTGATTCCCAGAGATGTTGCACACCCGCAGCTCCCATTGACTTGAGCCTGAGTTGGGGGGCTCAGTACCACGGCCTGCCAGGCATGCTGGTCACCCCAGTTATTTATGGCCAAGGATCTAGACACCCTCACAAATCAACAGTGGAACAGAGGCAAGTAAGGAACATTTTTAAAGGTACAGGCCACAGTGCCTAACAGCTTGTTTTCATCTGCAGCATTATTAAAGTACATCCATAATAAGGGCTTCTTTCACATTGAGCTTTGCCTGCATGCCAGCTGATGGTGTTTAGAAATGACAAAACCCTATTTTTCAGCTGAGTTTTGAATTCCCCTCACTCTCAGCTTTATTTTCTACTGCCTGGCCTAGTGTCTACCCGTCTGCACAAAGTGGGTGTCAAAGGCCACCATTGTGATCTGGTGGCATTTTTTACACTTGCTTCACACAAGTGAAAATTACAACACAAGGTTTGAGACCGAAGAAAATCAGACCGCTTGCCCTTTCAGAAAGTCATCCTAACCCAATATATTTCAGTTGCGTTAAAGTGGGTCCCAGTCTTCACCCAGCTGTACATATTTATAGCTTTCAAATGTTGGCAGGTATGTGGCAGATTTTCTCTGAGCTGATTAGGGTAAAGAGATGTCTCAGTTTACCAGCCAGTGGCTAATAGGGATTGAGCCATCCTCAATAATGTTCTTTACATTAAAAAAAAAAAAAAAACAACCCTTGAAACCTACAGATTGTGTCTCTAGCTAGTCACATATTCCTGTCATTGTTACCCTCATCCTCCTAGGTCTCCAGACCCAGCCAGGTGGCCAATCACCCCTCTGATTAACCTCTCCCCACCACATGATCTATCCCTGCTGCTGAACTGGCTTGTGTTGTTCTCCATTATGCTCATGTAATGCCACTGACTTAAATAACATTGCACTGGCACAGGAAGGGCAGAATGTGACATTTGGACTTTCCTTTGCTGGCAGCCAAAGGATATGAATGTCAAGCACATTTTTAAAGCTATTTTCATATTTTATTATATATATTGAGATCCTGAGACATTGTTTGGCTGTAAGATTTAAAATAAAAATAATATACAAAATCACGACACGCAGTGTCTATTTAGGTCCTGATCCATGAAAGTCATTGGAAAGACTCTCATTGACTTCCAAATAAGCTCTAGAACAGACTATCAAAATCCTGAAGATTAAAGCACAATCTTATAAACTAATAATGCTCCTGTCTTCTGCAAAGATTTAAGAATTATACCTCACTTTATTGAAATCAATGGGACTGCTCATGTGGGCAAAGCAATGCACGAGTTTAACACTTTGCAAGACTGGTCCTAAAGATGTTGCATTCATTCTAATACCATGTTAGAACCTTTTAAATAATATTTATTTCCTTTCCAATTTTGTCTTTTTTATTATTTGGCAAAAATATTTTCCCTTGTATTCTAAGAGCCTTAACATCAATTTTATTTTTTGTGTTTATTTTATTAGAGCTCAGTGCTGCAGTCCTTACTCTCACTGTGGGGGCAGAAAAAATAGCATCACCCAACAGTTTATTGGTTAGCCGCTGCTGAAGAGCCAGCAAAGGGCCCAAAGGACCCCAAACTTTAATTATGGTTAGTTGTTGTATAACCAGGAACAATTTGTTAAAATTTCTTGATGGCAGCATGGTGGTCATAAGAATTTGTTAGACATTCCCCATTACATAGCTTAGTCCACTCTCCTTTCGATGCAGGATTGTTTCCTACATTCTATCTTCCAGTGGTTTTCCAGACTGTTTTTAAGTGTGGACCTTCTATGACTTCCCACCTGATTCTACAGTCTAATAGATTTTACTTTGGGAAATTATTTAACTTAATATCTCACCTAAATGTTCTCTATTCAGTATTTTATCCTGATATTCCTAGTCCAGCCCGACTAAATATTTATTGGTAAAGTACAACAGCCCGAATCAGGCCTATTGAATACAGCTTCTTCCATTTGAAGATCTCATAATGTTTTACAAATATTAGTGACTCTAGCCTTCCAACGCTGCTGTGAGAGAGAGAAGTATTATTAATCCCATTTTACATATAGGTAAACTGAGGTACAGAGAGATTACGTGTCCAATTCTGTGGCGTGCTGAGTGCTCTTAACTCCGATTTGAGTAAATTGAAGCTGAAGTCACTTAGCGCCTCTCATGAACAGTCCTAATATGTGCTCAAAGTCAGATAGGAATTGTATAACAGAGCCAGGAATTGAATCCAATTAAACTATTGTATATTTGGAAAGGATGCAGTAAGGAAATAGAAAATTTTGAAATGCTTACATGCTATTAAAGTCTGGCAGCACAAATACTGTAAGATTTTTCTCTTATATTAAGGTTTCTTCTATTATTTGCTAAGTTCCAAAGCCACATATCTCATATCCATTAATTTTTCCCTCCCATTTCATGTTTGTCTTTTAAAATATATCAAAGAGTTCATGTTGCTTCATTGCATTACAGAGCTGCAATAAACTTACTAAAGCCATGGGAAGAAAAAAGCTTGTTCTATTTGTTTAGGTGGCCTCAGGCAACATTACTAAGAAGCTAGAGGACTTTCCATATAAAATATTCTTGAGTACTTTAAGGCTCTTAAAACCTTTTAAATGCTGTATTCAAATATTCTGAAAGTGCATCTGGATTATTGCTGACATTATTTTGTTTTTTATAGTCACTAAGCAGCATTTTCTTTCTATTCTTAGGGATATTAATTATAAATCATAGTATTGTATTGTGAGCTGGTTTAAATTGAATAGTTTTTATATATATATATATATATATATATATATATATATTACTGTAAATAGAGTTGGGCTCAAGTAAGAGTTTGGACAACCCCAAGGCCTGAGCGGGGGTTAGACATGGAGATTTTGTGTGGGCCCATTTTCTGATGTTAAACAAGTGCTGCCTTTATCTTCCATTTAAAATGAATACTTTGATGTGTGCCTACAGCAATGAGAGAAAGCTAAAAAGAAATCTGTGTTTCATGTACAACTTCAGATAAAAATAACATTTTTCTTGGGACTCAGATGCAGCTATTGAAAAGAAGTGAGGGATGTGATCAGAATTGACTGCAGGCCGGCGATGAACCGGAACAGTGGTCATATGTCTGCTCTGCCACAAAATACTTTTGACAAGATATCAAACAATACCTGCCAGTTCCCTTTATTCTCTCTCTAATTATCCATCTGCATCACTAACCCTGAAAGTTTAGTAATATACACACTGGAATATCTCTCCCATGTTTTGGTCTCTTCTGATCAAGAGCATACCTCATTTCAATGTGTTTCTATTGTCACATTCTCAATTTTTGCAATGAGTTTCTATTATATTGGGCCCACTCACATGTCTTGTGTCTGTAATTTCTCAGTATAAAATTTTACAAGCCACACGTCCAAACTATTGCAAATCCAGATTTCTTTTTATTTCTCTTTACAGTCCATGCATATGAAACATCCAATCCTGCAAGGGACCAAGAACATTCAAATCCCAATGGTTAAGTATAAGAAATTTGATACTGAGAAATTACAGACACATAATCTTGTAGATCTGCATTTTAGCCTGTGTGTACACTATACAGAGATACTATGAACTCTCTAGAGAGAAACAGCTAGCAGCCATGTGAAATTTTACACCAAGAAATCATATAAATGCAGAACCTTTGCAGGACGAGCCCTTAAAGTCAGTTTCTGCAGCCACTCCTGTCCATATCCTGTAGCCAGACTCGCATTCCATTTCCATTGTGCAACATTAGATGCTTGGAAACCAAATGGCAGAAACATTTGGTTGAATGTAAAGAAACTTGCCGTAAAATAAAATATTGTTCAAATGATTTATGAGCAGGTTTTCATGTTTACAGGGAAGGCTGAAATATTTGCATTCTGAGACAAGTTGAAAATGTAAACTATGATTTTTTTAAAAGGTTTCATGGTAAAAATAATTAATTGTTATACCAGTACTTTATGGAAGATTAAACAAAACTGTGCTGCTACAAATGTAATAGAGGGCACAAAAAGAAATGGCTGGGAAACAGGAAGGTAGAAATGTGTGTGCAGATGTGTAGCTGACAAGCCAATTCTAGTTGTGGTAGAAGATTGTTTGTACGGGGCAATGCTGTAGAGAAGGGAAAATGAAGAAATCTCTCTCTCTTTTCATCCCAAAACATCTTTGCAGAAGCCTGGAGCAGTACAGCATCACCTTTCATTCCTGCCCATAGCTTGTTCTTCCCTTAAGCCCAGCCTGGTCATGCCCTGCATATGATGTCCTGCCATCTAATCAGTGGTCATTCACTAGGTCTGATTGACCCTAGCTGTGTTTGCATTATTTTCTTTGGCATCCTATCATCTGTTTGTCTTCTGCAGTGTCTTCACCATCTTAATCCTTTTTGATTGTAGCCAATCCTATATCCTGATTTCACATGCCACTTACCCTCTAACTTCTTCATTTTCTTAAAATCATTCCACCTTACGCCTGCCATTTTTTGAAGAACTTTCATCTCTACTGACTCCAGCATTCTGATGTCTATTTCATGTAATGCACTGCTTCCAGACCATACAGCAATACTGTTAGTACACTGTTTTGATAAATTTTCATTTTGGTGCCAAATGTAATGTTTTTATCAGTCTATAATTTCATCAGTTTCTGTGCAGCACTGGTGGCTAAGGCATGTCTCCTTTTAACCTTATTCTTGAAGAA